ACTTTGCTTTGGACTTCCCGAAAAGGCCTCGTGCCAACGGACATGTATTCCTTACTTATAAACCTATGATCATTCCTCGAATTAGCCAAAGTGGACTCCCTCCCAACAATCCTCAACACTTCAACCAACACTTCGACCATTTGATGAGTAACAAGACTACAAAAACTTATGTCTAACCAATAATTTAAGCATCAAACACTCTCTTATAAGCATTCATTTCACAAGATGATTGATATCTTCTGATAGATAGCTTTCGAGCATGAAACTCAGAAGCTTGCTGAACAGCATCTCATAGAATGAGACAGTCCACTAAAGACTAAGCATGTCAGGATTGAAACAATAAATATGGAGAGAAACAGAGAGAGCCCACAAGCTAAAACAACAGAAACCAACAGAATTCATTCAATTCAAGATAAGAGCAAGAGTTCAACAAGATAGGAAGCTCACTTATGGGCACTATGATCCTTTTCCATGTGGATGAGCTTCTCAGAAGCAGGAAAAGAAGAGGCACTGCTTTTGGGGACCGTGGAATATGGCCGCCTTCCCCTGCAAACCAACCTGACCAAACATTGCAGCTGCCTCCTGGACGCCATTAACGAAAGGGGTTTTTTCAGAAAAGCTTGTAATCTCAAACAAATTTCCCTTCTGGGTTTCTCCTCACAGCATCCACAGAGCGAAATATCCAAAACCCCAGATCCCAAACTAAGGCCTTTTATACGGCTATGCTATGTTTTTATGAAATGGAATCGAGTAGGTTAAACAACATACTCTTAAAAGCGATTGAAATAGGGAACCGTTTTTTCTTAAAATGAGTGTCCCATTAGCTCAACACTGTGAAATTTTGCTTGTCTTTACATCGCAGGCTGCCAACCAACAAAAACGGACAACCTTGCCTGAAAAGAATTCGTATTGTTCACGCAGCCCGTGAAGCGGCCCGGTATTCAAGAATTCAACTAAAAAAAGAACATTTTGGTTGAGTTTATTAGTAATTTTTTTTTTTTTTGTTAATTAAATGTTGTTAATGGGAAACTAATTTGACACTCTTTTTTAACTAAAAAATAAGTTTTTATATATTTAAAAATATATATTTTTTTGTTTTTCTCCTGAAGAAAGAGATGAAAAAAAAAAATTAAATATTAAATTTATATTTTCTTAAAAAAAATTATACCAATATGGCAAAAGATATAAAATTAGATGTTTTTATTTATTTAATGAGATCAGATATAATTCTATAAATTTTTAATTAAAATTTATTACATAGTTAGATAAAGATAAATTGGAAATTCAACAATTTATTAAAACATTATTTAAAAAGAAAACTAAATATTAAATTTTAACCCTTAGTTCTCCGATCTCATTCGCGACAGGAAGCTCAGAATTACAATCGGCCGCCAAGATCGCCTCTGTTCTGCCGACTCCCACCGTCTCTTTCTCTTCGTCCACTTCGGGTATGATTCTGGAGCTTTTATCTTATTGTTTTCTCTGTTTTAATGGCAGTAATCTTTCCTTAAATTGTAAACTCCACAATGGGGTTGCCGATGATACCGATTCGTGGCTCTTTCCTCTGCGAACTCCGTATTCTGGATGATTCTATTGGGTGATATAGTCGCTTTTCTTTCTAATTGTATTTGTTGTTTTATAAGCGAAGCAAAATGTTTTGAGTATTGTACTTACTCCATTTCGGTGGATCCCTCGAGCCTTCTAGGTAATTCAAAGTTGGTTTTCGTTTTTCCCTGCCTCAGATTATTGGGTTTCTGTTAGGTCTGAACATGAATTGGCTGACTGTTGGATTAGAAATTGTATGCCATAACCAAAATGGTCTGATACCCAATTGTTGTAGCGGAATGCCAAAAAAAAAAAAAAAAAAATGCTTTGATACCCAATTGTTACCCAATTGTTCCAAAAGCTCAGATACCACTTGTTGTGCAAAAAAATGTCACAACCACAAATCTCTGATACCAATTGTTGTACCAATAGCAGAAGCAAGATCGATGGTACTCACACACCCACCAACTGAAATTAAACAAAAGACAAAGATACATGGTTAAGAGGGAAGAAATTCCCGGGTAGCAACCAATCTCAATAATCAAAGTGTATATCTCACACTCTCACACTACAAAGTCTCTCAACAAATTAATATTCTTATTTAATCAAAATGGTTATAAACTAAATGGGAGTTAATAATCAAATTAAATGAGATTTATGACAATTTACAACAATCTCTACCTTGTCAGAAGATCTCCAAGCAGATAACTGGTTTGGTTGTCACCAAGTCAACATACTACTTCTTCCTTCTAACATACTACTTCTTCCTTCTAACATTGATTAGATTTTCTTCAATCTTCCTGCCAAATCTCCATACAATAGCATATGATTTTCCTAATGATTGATAGAGTTCCCACAGCTACAAAGATGCTATTCAGAGCTCGGATAGTTTACATTGAAAAATGACTATGAATCAGGAAGATTCTTCTGGTATACGTTATAAGGCGCGACTTGTGGCTAAAGGTTATGCACAGAAGGAAGGTATTGATTACAATGAGATTTTCTCACCTGTGGTGAATCATTCTTCCATTCGAATTTTGTTGGCTTTGGTTGCAATTTAATCTTGAGTTTGCACAACTCAATATAAAAACTGTTTTTTTGCCTGGAGATTTAGCAGAAGAAATATATATGGCACAACCCGTTGGTTTTTACTAAGTCTCAAGTTTGATTTAACTGCAATGACTCTATCTCCTGATTCATAGCCACTTGCCAATGTAAACTATCCGAGCTCTGAATAACATTTTTGTAGTTTTGGTACTCCATCACTCATGGGGAAAGCATATGCTATCGTTTGGAGATTTGGTAGGCAAATTGAAGAACATCTTATCAATGTTAGAAGGAAGAAGTATTTTGTTGACTTAGTGGCAACCAAATCAGTTATCTGCTGACAAGGTAGAGATTGTTGTAAATTGTCATAAATCTCATTTAATCGGTTATTAATTCCCATTTAGTTTATAACCATTTTGATTAAATAAGAATATTAATTTGGTTATTAATCCTCATCTAAGTTCATAACGCTTGATGATTCATATTATCATTTTGATACATGAATCATCCTTATATAAAAGGTTGTCGAGGATGATTGAGAGTATTGTTTTTTTATTGAGCTTGTGTGTCATTTTATATTTGTTGAGTGTCATTTGGGAAGAACTTTTGTTGAGAGACTTTGTAGTGTGAGATATACACTTTGTAACACTTTGATTATTGAGATTGGTTGCTACCCGTGGATGTAGGAGAATTTCTCATCTTCAAACCACATAAATCTGTCTCTTTGTTTAATTTCAGTTGGTGGGTGTGTGAGTACAATTGATCTTACTTCTGCGGTTGGTACAACACCTTAATCCCGCCTCTCGGGGGAATTCTGGGGGAATTTGATATATTAACCTGGAGATTAGGGGTTTAAGTTTCTGTAGATGCATACTTGGATTGAATATTGTGCAAGTGGACTTGGAGATTTTACAATGGATTAATCTCAGGCGCTTGACTTGTAACGTTTGCATGTAAAAGTGAGATTCGTTTGCATTGATTCAAAACTAGATAATCGAAGGTTCTAGTGAATGTGTATTCTAATTCCTTAACCAGAATTGCTATGAAATCCTGCCATATCCATTTTAATTTTTAACCATTTCCTCTAGTTTAAAGAATAATGTGCTTGGACTTTACCCTGTCCGTGTCGAATCACTCCGGCCTTAAGAGTCACAACTTGCATTAATCAGTCATGTCAAGAGCTCTAGACCACTTGCCTCCTGCAATATCATCTGTAATGATGATCTTGAGAGACATTCTTTTGAGTTTTGACAAAATTGTTAGTATTAGCCGTATGCTAGTCTCTTTGATCAATTTACAGGCTCACCAGTATTGGTTTTCTGGGTTGAGATAACTAGAGTACTATAGTGGGGTTATATCTCTTATATCATTATCTCTGGTAGAGTTATCATCATTTCCATCCATTACCTGTTGTTTGTATGCCCTTATATGTGGTGGAATGATAGTTGCTCTTATTGGGATTGTTCTTTTGGCAAATGCAGTTATCTACATAATTAGAATACAGCTTTTAAGAACATTGTTTGTTATAATGAAATTTTGTGAATAAGACCTGATCTGTCCTGCCATTAGTTTTCCATTGATGGATTCTGTGTCCCTTGTGTTTAGCATTCGTTACTTTTATGGCTTTGATCTTTTCCTCATTTCACAAAATCCCAATCTCTCTTTCCGACAATTTTAACCCGTTTTTTTACTCAGATTACAGTGACTTTAGTTGCAATTCTGATTATATAATTGGGCCTGTTCATCAACAACTACCTTTCCACTTATAGGGACCAATCAAAGTAACCAAAGATGGATCAAGAATCAGGAGGATCCATGGTTCAGGTTGGTAGCAATGTTGAGTCTAATCCAGACAGTTTAGATCGCGTAGGAAAGGTGAGAAAGCTTCTGTTCCGTCGAATGCTCCTAGGTATTAAAGATGGAAGGTTTTTCTTGGGCTCCTTTTACTGCATGGACAAGCAAGGAAATATCATCCTTCAAGATGCAGTGGAGTATCGTAGCACTTGGCGTAGCTCACCTTCTCCGATGGAACAACGGTGCCTTGGTCTTATTCTTATCCCCAACTCTTGCCGTGTTTCTTGTCATGTAGATAGTACCATTGATGAACAATTGGCGCTGCTATCTGTTTAGCAAATAAGATCAAGCCTTAGGCTAAGAGGGGAGGGGGAAATCTCCTCACTTGTTTAAAGAGAATGTTTATGGCAGTTTCCTATTACTACAGAAAAGTTCTAAAACAATCTGATGTTTTAGTGGAAATATGGTCACTTTTTAAATTTGGTTTAGAACTCAAATGTGTTAACGTTAAAAGCTTAATGTAGACATTTAAACAAACACACAATCGCCAAACTCTTCCCGTTGCATTTCATCAATCGTAGCTTAAATAATAGAATTACCCAACAGAGAGAAGGAAGAATAATGCTCAGACCAAGATCTTGAAATGCATATGGATAATACACTAGAGAAAGCAAATTCATTTACAGTGTGTTCTATCGTCTTGAAGAGGAGTTGGTTCTGCTTGAATGACTGCTGTGTTCCCTTAAGATGGTAAAACTCGTTCAAAATCTCTCACTGTAAGGTGTTCCATATACAATAAGATATGGGACAGTCCGTACAACTGTGTCTATTGGTATTGCAAAATTAACACCAGAAGACATTCCAGTTCCTGTAGGGAATAACCAAACATGAAACCGCAACTTAGAACTTCACAAGCACAAAAAATATCATTATTTATTCGTTCTTTCTTTCTTTACTATTGTGAAGACTGTTCTTTCAAGTGGCTAGAAAAAGTTGAACTAGCTTTGATACTTACTAAGGCAAAGAAATTATGCATTCATATTTCCACTGACAAACTAAGGCAGATGAAGAAGTTAAGATCCTTCACCTTTGCGAGTGAAAGTTGCTGTGTTGACTCCAATTACATGGCCGTATAAGTCAACTAATGGCCCCCCTGAATTCCCTGTAAAACTTCTATGCATTATAATGGATGACTTGGGCAGCATAAACCAGAGACCAAATAGAAAGAACAAGATAAGCTGGGAATTGAACTGTTCGATAGTTTCAAGATTCAAGATCAGTGGAATCAATAAACACTTATAATATGAGTGATGAAAGGAGAATAGCTTTGAAAAGGGAGAAGAAAGAGCATGAAAAGATAACAGAACAGTGTTTGAAATGGAAAAATCTTATTTCAGGAAGTTGAACCATGAACCTGCACTAATAGCAGCATCTGTCTGAATAGCTCCCCTGATGGCCCTTCCATTTGGGGATGGAATTTCTCTACCCAGTCCGCTGATCACCTGCTATCCAAACCCTGAATGATTTACGGTTCTTAATTATTTAGTTAATCTGCTATATGACTCTGTGGTACTTGGTAAAGAACACCAGTACGAAACTTGATATGACACTTGAAGAAAGCATAAATGCGTGTGAGATCTGAGATATTATAAACTTCTATGATTAATATGTTCATTATAGAGAGAGAAGTATTAGTTTTAGCTTTGGAATGGAAAACTCAAAGTGGGTTTCCCTATATTAAATGGAGGAAGTAACATCCTTGATGCCTTACTCCTGCTGTGAGTGTCTTCTCATAACCAAAAGGGTTGCCAATGGCATAGCAGCTCTGACCAACACGTAAACTTCGAGAGGTACCAAAGACTATGGGCTTTAGTTCATGTCCTTGAAGTTCCACCTGGATGTTACATGGAAACTTCAGAATCAGCCGATCATGGTTTCTAAGAAGCACAAACATTTTAGTTTGGGTAGTGTTTCCACGTTCCAAACACTTGGACACACTTATTGGACACATATAGAATACTTGTTAGCACATACTTTATGTGTTTGACACTAGTTATACAAAGTCGATATAGGAGTATCATTTGTGAGACATGTATTAAATATTTGATGAGCACTAAATAGGCATAATATGTAGGACGAAAATGTAACCACCCAAGCCCAAGCCCACCGATAACCGATATTGTTTTTTTTGGGCTTTCCCTTTAGAGCTTCCTCTCAAAGTTTTAAAACGCGTCCACTAGGTAGAAGTTTCCACACTCTTATATGGAATGCTCCGTTCTCCATCTCACTGATACATAAAACTCATTTTTTAATGCATATAAAATGCATAATAAACTTGTTGATTTTGAATTTCCTTCTAGTAAAAGTTTGTATTGTAATCAATGTGTTCTTTCCATGTCTGTGCCTTAAATTTTTGTATTTGTGTCTCATATCCATATATTTGCTTCTAGGAGATGAAGCTAAGAATGCTCTATACACAAATCTAGAGCTAAATTAGCACCATCGATAAATACAAGCAAGCTTGATTCAATACCTTAAGAACAGCTAGATCATACTCTGGATCAAATCCTACAATCTTTGCATCTCTAGAGATTCCATTTCCTTTAACATCGACCAAATTTACCTACAGAAGCAAACAAAACTGAGAAACCAAGACTAGAGACTGCTAGCATGTCTATCAGCCACTAAGAATGCTTAACAATCCAAAACACAGAAACTAACGAACAAAACCTTACAACGCTGTAATCCACTATTATCAGTAGCCAATGCAGAAACGACATGGTAATTAGTAACCTGTCACAAGCATACATTCTTCAGCTCAAAATTTGCAGCAGCAGGGCGCTAGAGGAAATGTAAAGAATCAAAGAAGAGAAGAGCTTACGATATGGCCAAATTTATCCCAAATAAACCCCGAACCAGTCCCTTTGACCTTGGCGTTCTCATCATCCTCAATAAGCATGGCCTCTTCAGAAGGGTTTTGGGGTTTTTTAGCAATTTCAAGATTCTTTATACAAACAACCGACGGTGAAGTTTCCTACATTGCAATCAGAACCAACAGAACAAAACAGATGAAGAAGACCTAATTTCAATGGAAACAGAAGAATTCTAGAGTTATTATCTAAGATTATGAGAAGGGACCTGGAAAAGGCCAACGATTCTATCTTCTTCTTGTGGAACCTCGTCTTGCAGTTGGAGAAGAGCGGCAAAACTGGGAACAGGGAAAGCGAGCAGGGAAGCCATTAAAACAGTCGGGGCAAACACTATGGCTCTTCGCGAACTGAAGGGTAAGGAAATTTCCGACGAATTAGGGGGAGATGAAACTGGAAGAAGACGAATTCCCAGCGAGCCCAACGCCATGGATTTCCACTTTTCTTCCAATGAATCTTCAACTGAGCAATCTTATCGTTGTTTTTTTAGAAATACAATTATCTTCCATGGATTTTTTCAAGCGAAAAAAAAAAACATCGTATTAAATTTTATTTTTCATACAACTATTAATTTTTTAAAGTATTTATTAATTATCATAGCTTTACTTTGATTTTGAAATAAATTTATGTACTACTCCTTTACTCGGGTGTCACATTTATATATAACAATCTAAAAGATAGTATGTCAAACTCGATGAATAAGCTAGAGACTATGTAACAGCTCAAGTCTACCGTTCTTACAGAATATCCGTTTTAACTCATTACATATCGTCGTTAATCATTTTTAAAATATGTTTATTAGGAACAGGTATCCACACCTTAATAAAGAATTGATAGGTGGAAATCACTACAATGTGAGTAAGATTCGGATTACCTTGTTAATTGAATATCTTAAGGCAAGAACATTGATTGAGATTCGAATCACTCTACAAACAAAATTGATCATGTCGAGCTTGAATGATTCTTATTGATCAAATATCTCAACGCAAGGAACACTTGTTTGAGATTCGAATCACTCCACAAGCAAGAATGATCATGTCGAGCTTGAATGATTCTACATGCAACCTAAACTACATAGAATTGCAAATAAACTTAGTCATTGACTGAAAAAACACAAAGGTTTTTTTTACTACATTTTCCAAGTCTTCTTACAAATAAAACATACACTTTATATAGCCTCAAAATGAAATTATTAACCATTAACGTACCAGTAACCGGTAAATAAAAAGTCTTAAAATACATTAATGAAATACAATAACTCTAAATTGTAATCCACCTAAAATTTATAATATGAATCTTCATTCTTCTTTAACGTGAAATTATTAACCATTAACGTACCAGTAACCGGTAAATAAAAAGTCTTAAAATACATTAATGAAATACAATAACTCTAAATTGTAATCCACCTAAAATTTATAATATGAATCTTCATTCTTCTTTAACGTGAAATTATTAACCATTAACGTACCAGTAACCGGTAAATAAAAAGTCTTAAAATACATTAATGAAATACAATAACTCTAAATTGTAATCCACCTAAAATTTATAATATGAATCTTCATTCTTCTTTAACGTGAAATTATTAACCATTAACGTACCAGTAACCGGTAAATAAAAAGTCTTAAAATACATTAATGAAATACAATAACTCTAAATTGTAATCCACCTAAAATTTATAATATGAATCTTCATTCTTCTTTAACGTGGCATGAATTGAAATATCTTTTGATAATTTCAACAATATTTTCTTCACATGTTCATTGAAGTATATTGTATGATTGACGTCTCTTGATTCATATTAGGAATATTTTGTTCATATCTCCAATCAATGTGGATCTCAGGACTACTTTTATTTTTTATTTTTTTATCTTTGTAAAAAAAATTAAGACCCAACTCCAAACTCTTTCTTCACAGGTCATAGGTTAGCTTTTCGGGTAACAGGGTCAAATTCTATTTCTATCTATAAATTTGAGTTCCGAATCATCGACCTTTAAAATGGTAATTCATGGCTTTATTTATCGAACTATATATCAGATTGGTCATTTCTTCGTCGGAAAGGTAGGGCATTTATATATTAAAAGAATTGAAATGAAAGGCGTAAATAGTAATGTTTGGTGATTATGACTTTATTTGTTACAAATGTTTATAATATGAAATGCAAAGGTGTCAAAATATTGGGTTACTTGGGGGTTTATTTTTTTTGTTAATTTTACCTTTTAATTCGTGGTGTGAAGGCTTTTCTTTATGGCCCTCCACAATCTTTTCCTTTGCAATTAAAGCAGCTACGTGGCACAATAAACTTACACTTCTTTTCCCACCCACCAAATTAAAGATTCAACACCTTTTTTTCCTTTTTCTTATTGGAATGTATTTTCAAGTACACATAAAAATAATTTATCTTATTCCGAAACAATCCCGAACTCCATTGACTTTATGATATTAGAATACACCGTGTCGAAATTTCATTGAAGTTTCGAACAATTTTGAAACACGCATCTTTTTATAAAGATTACTCTCATAATTTGGAGAGGGGAAAGATCTAGAAATCTCTCCATAGTAGACCTGTTTTAAAATCGTGATACTGATAGCGATACGTAACGGGTCAAGGTGGACAATGTTTATTAGCAGTGGGCTTAGACTGTTACAAATGGTATTAGAGAGCCAGATGTCGGGGCGATGTGCCCGCAAGGACGTTGGGCCTCCAAGGGATGGTGGATTGTGAAATCTCAAATTAGTTGGGGAAGGGAACAAATCATTCTGTATAAGGGTGGGAAATGAGACTGACGACCATATGTAACGGGCCAAAACGAACAATATCTACTAGCTGTGGGCATGAACTATTATATAATCATACTTTTTCAAAACTTGTGATGCGATTGTGCGACAACTACTCTCGCTCTCAAGTAAGTCAACTTGCTAAAACTCGGGTTTTTGGTGGCACAAAAGACCTATATTTTAGCCTCCACCCCATTCTTGGAAACCTAAGTTACTAGCAAGCAATAAGTGTAACAGCTCAAGCCTACGACTAGCAAATACTGTTCGACTATCTGTTTTGGGTTTTCTCTCAAGGTTTTAAAACGTGTCTTTTAGAGTTACACGGTAGAGTCTATACTCAGTAGATATGTTTTAAAATCGTGAGGCTGACGATAATACACAACGAGCCAAAACGGACAATATTTAGTATTGGTGGGTTTGGGTTGTTGCAATAAGAGAGCACGATGACATTGAGAGCATGTATAACTCAAGTAGAAATATTTGACAATCAGTTGTATCTCCTTCAGTTCCAAACCTATTATCTCTCTCGTTCTTGAACGAGCTAGATCAATTATTTTTATTGCTTCCATTGCAGAAAGCTCGACTCTGCATCACGTCTTAAGACTGCTCGTAATTAAGATCGATCCAAGTCTAAAAAAAAAAAAAAAATCTTAAAATAACATAGCTTAGATGATTGGGGATCCCAAAAGCCATTATTAAACAAAAAAACAAAGTTTAATAAGATATTAATCATCACTTTAAGTTCCATTAAAGAAAGAAAAAAATGATTAAGATTGATTAAATGGGAAATAGTTCCACGTGTAATTCTTGTAATTATATGTATCATTTAATATAATCAAATTACAATCAAATCAATAAAAGCTTATTGGTATGTGGTCATTTACTATTAATTTCTTTATTAAAAATTTTTCATACATTAATAAATTCATTTTTATAACAAGTATTCTTTTTAATATAACATAAAATTCTATTTTTAATATAACGTAATTGTGCGGTACTCATTCTCATCATCGAGTGAGTTAGTCAATTCGAAATCGTACCGCCTTTGACCTGACGACGTATATTCAAGCCTCTGCCCTCACTTTAAAAAGAAGGTTTTAAAAGACAGAGAATTTTGAAAGTAAGATGTAGAGAAATGAAGAAAATAACATTATAAGGCTAATAATTTAAAAAACAAAATATTAACTAGTTGAATTATATTCGAGTTGATATTACAATAATACACGAAACAGACATAATATTGATCCATAGCTCCTTCTACACCTCATTGCTATCTCCAATTGCTTGAAGTCTTATCTGTCTATTGAATCTTTCAATAAACTCTTCAACTCTTTTGTTAAGTTCTTCATTTGACATCTCTGCTAACTCATTCTTCCTCTCTTCTTCCTCATTTCTCGTCATCGTCTTCGATCTCCTCATCGCAATCTTCGTCTCCTTAGCAACTCTTCTCATCGCTTTCTCCGACTTGCTTCGATCGTAAGATTTTCTCGAATTATTAAGTTCGAGAGGAATCAAAATTTCTGAAATAACTAACCCAAATTAGCTCAAAACATGTCTAAAAATCTGGAACAACGATTTAAAAGATTAAAATAAGAAGAGTGAAAATAAAAATGTGTCAATACCAGTGGGAAGTGGGATTTGTTGTTCTTGATTTTCAGTTGGGTTGCCGGAACTGAAGTTATTTGGTGGTGGGGTTGGGATGATTACGGCGTTGAAGGTGGGCGGCGGAGAGAAAGCGCGGGAATGGGCGGCGATGATGACAACGAGAGTGTTGGAGAGGCAAAACCAGAAATTGGGGTGGCGGAAGAGAGTGGAGAGAGAGAGATTGAAAGCAGAGAAGTAAATGAAGAGGGAGAGAAGGAAGGCGGAGAAACAGAGAGCTTCCTCTGCGTATAAATGGAGGCACTTGCTTCTGGGTTTCATGGCCATTGGAACAAGAACAAACAGAGAGGCTTTTGAAAATTAGTTGATGGTAGTTTTAATTTGCAGAACACTCCTTTTTATAGTGTGGGTTACCCCTTTTTTTTCTTCCATTATTCGTTTAAAAGTTAATTTTTAATAGCATTTTATTTTTATTAAAAATAAAAATAAAAATTTAAATTTAAATAAATGGTCTCGACCATCTGAACCAACTCTACAAAAATTTACGACACACGATTAAGTAATGCTTTTTGAGATTACTTTATATTATAGCCTTACACAAGTGGACAATTCAAATTGGTGAGAATTCACATCCCTGTGCCACGTGTCCGACATATTTTTTATATATATATATATATATAGTTCAAACAAAGTTTAATAAATATCAAAATTCAGTGTAGTTTAAATTCGTCAATATATTCGTAATTAGTTTATGTTTAGAGAATATATTAGTTATAGAATATTTTTTAATTTTATTTTATTATCGAGATTTAATTAGTTTATATTTTTATTTCGTAAGTTGTATCCTATTTAAACTTGTGAATATAATAAAAAGATCCCAATTAAATAATTAAATATATAAATTGATTTTTTTTAGTAAGAGAGTAATTTTGACCTAGAAAATAACCCTTTAATTTTAAAAAATCTAAAAGAATTAATTTAATTTAATTATTATTTTTTCAACCGACTTGATTTGGGTTGTTATTTCTTTTTTTAAGTTATTAAATCTCAAATATCAAAAATATTTACAAATTACAAAATTAAAATTAAAATTTTCTTGTAGTAATCTTAAAAATAGTCGGTTGGATTGTAACTCTATTTTTA